AAAAGGAGCAAAGCCACAGAGTCAAGGAAATTTGATACGCAGCTACTTTGAAGGAGACAGAGTAGGTAACTATCTGCCTGGAGTAGTTTGGGGTTATCAAGCTTCCTGTCTGTCTGGGTACCAGCCTTCCCTCCTCTCTGACTTGGTATTCATCACATTGGATAACATTGGGATGTGGGAAGGATATTGTTTCCTGAGGGCAGTTAAAAGACGTAGTAATTTTAATATCCTTTCTTGGCCTATCTTCCTAGGAACTTAGGAGGAGATGGGTATCTGAAAGTTTACATGTCCAGATTTTTTTTTCAGAAGTTAAAATACCAGACATTGACTCTTTCAACACACTTCAAAGAGAATTCTCTAACCATCCCAAACATTTATCTTATCTAATTCATAGAGACATATCTTTAGTGAAAGTATGCCAAACGAGAGTAATATCACCCATTTTGGCTAGTTGGGGTCTGATGGGTGTGAAGGAAGTCTTCCTGGGGAAAATGACATCTATGTGCTAAGTCTTAAAAAATGTATAGGTGTTGGCTAGGTGAAATAGAGGGAATATAGTGAATAGTACTGGCCTGTGTATAGCCTACAGCGTGAGAAAGCTTGGTGCATTTGGAGAGCTGCAAGAAGTTGCTGACTACTGGCTGGTTTAGAGAACTTTATCTCTCAGGCTGAGGATTCAAGATACTATTCTCCACAGCAATGGTAATCAAAATTTTAGAATTATAACAGCATTTTAAGACTAAGAGTGGTTTTTGAGGGCATCCATATATGATTGGCTATAATATCATTATCTGTTCACTTAAAATATTCAAAATGCAAGCTGACAGAAATTCAGAAGTTTCTAAAAGTGAATTTGTATTTTACTATCAACAATTGAACCTGAGTGAGTCTAAAATAATATATGGGCTGGGCATGGTGGTTCACGCCTGTAATGCCAGCACTTTGGGAGGCCAAGGTGAGAGGATCACCTGAGATCAGGAGTTCAAGACCAGCTTAGCCAATATGGTGAAACCCATCTCTACTAAAAATACAAAAATTAGTCAGATGTGGTGGTGCATGCCTATAGTTCCAGCTACTTGGGAGACTGAGGCAGGAGAATCGTTTGAACCTGGGAGGCAGAGGTTGCTGTGAGCCAAGATTGCACCACTGTACTACAACCTGGCTGACACAGTGAGACTCTGTCTTAATAATAATAACAACAATCATAATAACATATAGATATGTGAAGTGTTATTCAATCAATGGATAGTGAAGAGTACACACAGGGATTTATAGACTAGACAAGTCTTTCTCTGTCCTCTGTGTCTGAAGACTATAGGAGACTGTAAAGCATGGAAAACTATTGAAAGGTTTGAAACAAAAGAATAATATAATCAGATAAATGCTCTAAATTATTTCCTCCCTTGTCACAAAAAGCAGTTAAAGATTATATATAAATTAGATTTTATATATATAATTATATATTATAGATAAAATTATATATAAATTATATATAATTATATATTATAGATAAAATTATATATAAATTATATATATAAATATAAAATTATATATAAATTATATATATAATTATATAGTATATATAAAATTATATATAAAATATATATAATTATATAGTATATATAAAATTATATATAATATATATATAATTATATAGTATATATAAAATTATATATAAATTATATATAATTATATAGTATATATAAAATTATATATAAATTATATATAAGATTATGTATAAAATTAGATACATAAAATTAGTGTTACCTTTTTATAAGAATTTTCATTTAAGGGAGAATTCTTAAGTGATGGACAATGCTTAACAAAATGGAATAAATTGCAGATGACAGTTTGCAATGGGTAGTTGGGAAATTTAGTATGAGAACTCTGCCAGTTCTTTGAATCTCAGTAAAGAATAAAGCAAATACATGATCCTTGCTAGAGTAATATTTAGGATAAAAGACTTATGTGTGCATAAATCTTTATTTATTACCTGGTATTGTCAGAGAATGAGGATGTATATAATGCATATGAATTACCAGTTTTCATAAAGTAACACTACAATAGAGAGACCTCTCTCTTCCTCAGTCAAACCAGTCTTCTCAATCAGAACACACTTTGTTTCTGGGCTGTCTTCAGAAAGATTTTAAGAAGCAAGCAATATGTGTCATCCCGTTGGAATTATTTACATTAAAGAATGAATGGCTGTTAACTTCCTAATAGAACATCTTACACTTAAAGGAGTAGTTTGCTAACCCAAAAGGATAGTTAGTTGGGAAAATTATCACAGAGATATGGGAGAGGAGTCTATTTTGAGAAGCAGGGTGTTTTGGGGTCAACTCTATCCTATCATTTCTCTAGTGTCTTACAGTTCTTTGATACTGACTTTAAGAATGTCCATTATTATGGTTATAGATACGTAAATGTGACATAAAATGAATTTTATTCCAGAGGGAAAAAACCACCCACAGTAGGAATCAGATCATACTGTAAATACTATGGCATTATACAGATGTGTAACTCTGGACAAACGTTTCACTTCTATGGGCCTCAATTTCCTCATATATAAAATGGAGATTGGACTGGGTACAGTGCCATTGTAGGAGGGCAGAGTGGTTTTTCATGTGTGATAACCATTTCCTGACTGATCACTATTAGTAATTTGGCTGATATGACTGGTCAGGCGAGTAAGTTCCTCCTTTGTTCCCTGGACTCTAAGTGTCTGTGTCTGCCAAGCTGCTGGCATCTAAGCTGAAAAGAATCTGCACAGAGAGGAGGAGGGAACTTTCATCCTGGGCATATGAGAGCATTTGTAATGTCTATTCCAACTCTGACATTTTCTGTATCTGGACTTTTTCTTTTCTTTTCTTTCTTTCTTTTTTTTTTTTTTTTTTTGAGATGAAGTCTCGCTCTGTTGCCCAGGCTGGAGTGCAGTGGTGCAATGTCGACTCACTGCAACCTCCGACTCCCTGGTTCAAGTAATTCTTCTGCCTCAGCCTCCCAAGTAGCTGGGATTACAGGCACGCACCACCGCTCCCAGCTAATTTCTGTATTGTTAGTAGAGATGGGATTTCACCATGTTGGCCAGGATGGTCTCAATCTCCTGACCTCATGATCTGCCTGCCTTGGCCTCCCAAAGTGCTGGGATTACAGGCGTGAGCCACCACACCCAGCCTAGACTTCTTCTTTATCGCCTTCCTTGCTCATTGTTAGTTGAATTGCTTGAGAAACTCGAACAGTATAGAAGTTAAGACTTTTGTTTAGTGAAATTAAAATAGTCAAAATAAATGTTCAGTTAAAAGAAATATGGGAACATTAATCTTCATTCACACTTATGAAAGTGTCTAGGCTCCAATTTTTGTTTAAGTGTCTCTTCTGTTTTCCAAGAATTCTGCTTGGAAGCAAAGAGGCTTAGGGCATTTAGCAGCAAAATCTGAGGCAGGCATCTATTTCTCACTTGTCACAGACAGTTCCTTCTAGGGGCAGTCACAAGGCATCACTTTTTCAAAGCATAACTGACCTTCAAAACTGCCTATGGGCATACCCACCCCTGTACCCCTGTCATCAACAGCATTTTTCTATGGTGAAAGTGACTTGAAAATGTGACCTCATTAACAGAGACCAGGCTAACCTGGCCATGAAGACTGGCTGCCAAAGATCGAACAAAAAGGTTTACTTTTAAATAAAATTTTCATGGATATCTTTTATTGCTTTAACAAGTTAAACTGTTAAAAGAGGGCAAGATTTGACCAAAAAGTGGAAAGGCATGGAAAGTGTTCTAGGAACTTGCCAGATGAGACTAATTCAAATGCAGAATGCAGTGGAGGCATTGGGAAGCCATCTGAAAAGGTAATGAACTTGGTAAGTGGTTTATGGGCAAAATAATTTTCAAGGTACTACTAATTTAGAAAATGTAAAACTGGTACAATATGCTTTAGAAATCTGATAACTTGGAGAGCTTGGCCTACCTGACTTTGACAGATGGTAGAATGGTTTCCCGCTTGGAGAGTGGTTAATTTAGCCTTTTTTGCTCAAGTTAGAGCCAATAACCCTAAGGTCGTGAGGGATTATATGGGGTTACTTTTGTTTATCAGACCAAACGGGCATCTGAGAGACAGTCAAACTGACCTCTAATCTCTGTTCTGTTCTGCTACTGATTTGCAGAGCGACCTCGAGAATATCACTTCTCTGTAGGGGAAACAAAGAGGTGTTGATGATCTTTGCTCTAATAATAGTTCTTGGTGAAAACTCTTGGAGACTCATTCAAGATAATTAAAATAAAGAGAGAGTAGGTGGTATTGAAATGATTCAGGGGCATTATATCTATATTAAATACAGCTAGGCCTCATGGGACCTGGGAATAAAAATTAAGAAACTTACCAGAGACCAAGACAGACACTCTCTTTAATCTCTCTTTGTCTGTCTGTCTGTCTCTCTCTCTCTCTCCATGGTTTCTCCTTGTACATCTTCTTCTAATGCTTCTTTCTGAATATAAACTTTCCCCTTTTACCCAGTCCCAATCCCACTAGTTGTATGATCCCCTTTTACCCAGTCTCAGTCCCACATTATCTTAACTACCTGAGCACCAAATCTATGGTCATAGAATTAAGCTGCTTACAGTGGCATCTGGATTTCAAATCTTTCAGATCTTTCACCAGGGGAGGAAGAGAAAGGAACTACTATACTCACTGAATATTGCAGGATCCAAGTGATATAATATGTTCAGTCAGTTTCTAACAGTGATGGCAGCTGAGTCCATAAATTATTGTCACCTAAATCCAAGGGAAAGTATTCAACAGAGTTTATGAAAATGGGGCACTTTGTATTTCCCTGAGTTTTGCATGTCAGGCTGTATTACAGTTATCCTTTATTAGTAAGCATCTTCCCAATTCATCAAGAGCTCACCTGGTGTAAGAAGCATGGTGAAAGCACAAGTCTATCTTAAGGAATAATGTTTCATATAGAAAATACTTGGGAGTCAAGAAGGACTCACATAAGGCTGTTATATAGATATATATTTAATATAATATGTGTGATTGTGGTTACAGATACATATTTGGTGCTTTATTTATCCAGAAGCATGAGTCACATAGTACATAAAGTATTGAATACAAAATTCTAAAGATAAACACAATTGTTCTTGAATTTAAAATGTATGGGATAAATGCTTACAAATGGATTTATAAACCTTTCACTTCTACTTCATTCTCCTGGCTGTGTCTTCTGAAGATGAGTTGCTAGTTGCAACATTAAGAAGATAGCTCCTTCAAATCCTGACACTATATGACACAGAAAGAACTTTTGGCAAATATTTATTCAGATTACTTGTCTCCAGTGGCAAATTTCTCAGCATTTCTCTTTGTTTTGTCTATGCCTTAGCCTGTACATTTTTCTAGAAAGGAAGTTAAATGCTTTTAATGTATTAATTATTACATAATTGAAGTTAGACCCAAATATGTTAAATATTTCCTCTTGCAAAGGGAGAAGAGGAATGGAGAAATAAGGGCAAGGTGGGGAGGAAAAAATACCTCAGGTGAGAGAACAAGTAACCTGCAAGAGGATTATTAAACTGTATATAAATGTTCAAGAGGCTGATTTGTAGTTTCTCTACTAGAAAAATAATAAGATTTATTATTAAACCGTGAGTTGAGAATAATATTCCAAATGTTTGTTGTTGTCGTTGTTGTTGTTGCCTATTACTCTCTGCTGTAAGTTTCCATTCAAAGCCAGGAGTGTTTTCTCAATTGGAAGAGTTGATCTTTTTAGATTCGGGATGGGTAAGTGATGCTGGGAAAGCCTTTCTTTAAATATTAATTGCTCTTGTTTGCCTTAGAATCTATTTGGTGAAAAGTGTGTTTAACATAACAGTAGCTGCTAAATTGTTAACTAAAGAGCCTTGTGCAAAGCAAGTGTTCAATACATCCTTGTCTAATAGAATGAAGAGACTATAAACCAGAGAGGTTTAATAGCAATTGAGCCAGGATAAACCAAGATGCACCAAACTTTATGTCCAAAACCTACACAGAGTTGCCTAGTCCTTGCATTTGGATGCTTGGATGTTGGAAATTGCATTTTCCATTCTCTGCTTTCTGGCACATGCAGCCAAATATGGACAGGAGACCCTCAATATTTATTCACTTTTCTGGTCAAGGTTTTCTAGGATGTTAAAATCAAATTTTACATCTAGCTGCATTGCAAGTCAGGAAGTACTTTCCTGCAAATATGGAAGATGACAAAAGCCAGTTTCAACCAAGATGAGCTGCTCTTAAATATTTCCTAGCAAAGGGATTAATTTCATAGGTCTGGGCACTTACTTTTTAACCACTTCCCTTCTCCCCTTCTTCCTTTTCTTCTCATGACCATTCCCTCCTAAACTTGCTAAATTCCCAGGAAAAAGGAGAAATGACCTGCTAGGGGGAACAGTTTCAATAATGAAATCATTTCTCTGAAATATAACTGGCTTTTTCAATGATTCTCGAATTTGTTATTGGATAGGCAGTTTGGTAAACCTAGAAGGGAATGCTTATTAGTTTATCTATTTATTTGTTAATGGCCCAGTTTTTATTGAAATGTTTGCATGTCTGTTACTCTTTAGAAAATAACTAACAGCTCCATCCTATTCAAATGGCTTGTGTACAGAGCACACATCAACCAAATAAAATCCATGGCTTTGTAAAGGATAAAAATAAAAATAATTTCTTTCACCAAGTTCTCCTTGGCACTGAATTCTACTTAAAGCATAATTCATACAGTAGGGAATTGGAGTACATGGGGTATGGAGAGTAGGGCACAAAATGTTTCCATACATTTGACTTTATTGATATGAAAGCAAAGTCACTGAAATGCCTCAGTTAGTTCTGCATTTTAAAAGGTGTATACCTGGAAGAAACAAAAAAAAAAAAATGTGTACGTGTGTGCGCGTGTGTGTGTGTGTATGTGTGTGGCGGGGAAGATGGAAGGTTATTCACATGCTTGAAGGCTATTCACACTGCTTTAACAAATAAACATGGAACATACCTCCTAATTAACTGTAGAGTTAATAGTCTGTCTCTTTGTCCTGATGTAATTTAGATCTTAATCTAACCCCAACTCTAAACTATATCAAACCCAGGCAGAAAAACTGAAGTTACAGGCAATTACCTGGGCTAATCTTAGTTTCTTTCTCAACAGTGAGAACCATATTCTCCTATTTCCATTGACCACAATTTGGTTCCACCACCTTTCTACATCCTCAATGCACTCCCAACTGTAGTTACATTTTCACAGGGGAGGAAAACTCCAGCACAACAGTGTTCTTGCATCAAGCTTCATGCTTTCCCAGACATTTATTTACTCAAGGGAACGTGGAGAGGAAGAGGAGGAGGGAGATGGAGTGATAAGTAGATGTTACACATGTTTTTCCTGGAAAGATCACCCCACTTTTTCTAATTTCCCAGAATTTAAAAAATGTATTTTATCTCTATTACCATGAAAATTACTAGTAACAGGATTTTTTTTTCTCTTTTCTAAGTTTCCAAAAACTTTCAAAAGTGTTCAAAGAAATTTTCTAGAACAATTTTAATATGTTGGATTTCTCATTTGGGGCTGGAATGTTTGTATTCTTTTTAATTTTATTACTTCATATATTAGAAGAGTTTCTAATATGTGTATGAATACAATTTTAAATGTAAGATTATATAGATGTAGATACAGATAGATAGATATATGTAGATATATAGAGATAATGTCACAATATCACTATAAGGCATTCCTTCTTCCATTCTTTTTATATCTCCACAGAACTGCTCTCATGGTGCCCTTTCCTGCCCTCTACCTCCCACATTCAGCTTATTAAAAGGTAAAAGCCCTTCTTATTTTCCACTGAAAAGTCTACCCACTTTCATAGGGTGTCCAGTCAATTTGTGAGTACAGTCCATTGGAGTCTTCATAACATCAGCCCTCTAGGTGAGATCTGTAATAGCTAGTTAATTATCTGGGAATTTTCAAACATTTGGATATTTCAAATAATGTGAATAAAATACTTGAATTTTAAATAATTGTTTCTTCAAATGTTTTCGCATTAATGAAAAAATAATGCACCAAGATTTTGGATTTCTAGCTGCATGAGAGAGTAAAGGGTTGGCACTTTATTAACTTGGGGGCAATGTAGACAGATGTTGAAGCTGGTACTGGAAGTGCACTCTGGAAATTTTTGTCTGAGTTTCTCATCAATCCTACAGAATTGCATGCAATGAGAATGTCATGATTGCAGCGTTGATCTGGCCTAGCTCTGGACTGCTTGATGAAGGAGTTTCCTGAAGCGAGCAATACTGGCAAATATGAATGAATTCATACCACTAGCAATTGTTGGCAGAACACCCAGCCACTCTACCCATTTTCAGAATGTGAAATGGCAAGTATTCAGCAGGGCAAATTATCCTTGAAGTCACAAAAATAGGGAAAATCCAACAAGCACGGTCAGTGTTTACCTGAACAATACAGTCTCATAGTTGCTTCACTTAGGAAATAACCAAATAAATGAGCTACAAATATGGGAAACTAAGAGTGTGTGAATGAAAAAGAGCAACAGAAGGAGGAAATACAAGACTAGACATTGTAGTCTTCTACTTAACATTTCAGAATTTTATTAATCCTTTAAAAATCACCCTCTTTCTTTTGAGTTAATATCCTCATCTCGACTACCATCATACATGGTTTAGTTTGATTCCGTTACTAAATTCTGTGAATCATTATTTAAGCAAATCTACTAAATATTAGAAAAAATTCTAGCAAGACTTATAATCATGAAATATAGAATTAAAAGTTTAAACCTACCAAAAGTCCTATGGCCTATCATTTAGCTGTGAATGAGGCATGTCAGGAGTATAAATCTGCACTTTTGACTGTAAGTAAAATTTACTAACGCAGGAAGCAAAACAGTGAGGGAATACTGGGGTTGCTAAAAGATTACTTTTTTTTTTTTTTTTTTTTTGCAAAATGCAGTGTACCTTAAAAGTGTCTCACCTAGAAGGCCTCTACCTGTAGTCACTTTTCTAAAGACAATGTTTTGTTTTGAAGATAAATGTCATTAATCTATGATAATAGCATGATAGGACAATTAGCCATTTTAGACTTGACCATATTTTCTCTTGTTAGTGTATAGCCGTCTTGATATTTAGGTGGGAGACTGCTCCAATGGAGCAACAGTTTCATTTTACATGATTGGATTTAGAAATTTATGAATTTTAAACACATAAGAATTTTAAATAATTTGAAAATGGAAACATTTGACCTATAGTCTAGGAGCATAAATACATTTATAAAATACTTCATTGTTCACCTTAGGTCATTGATTTAAAACAGAATTTGGTAACTATGGGCAGGCGGAGGGGACCAGTGAGGAAGGTATAAAAGAGAAATCTATATGAATTGTGCTCAGATTGATTTTGTATAAACACAGTATATTCATGGTTGTATCTCTTATTAATAATACCCAGCTAACATGAAAGTGGTGCCAGGGAAGGATCAATATTTTAAATAACATATTTGCTTAAAATATCATACAGTGGCTGCTTCATACAAATCTTATAACCTTTTATTAACCAAGTTCAGAAATAATTAGAGGGGTGATCTCCCTGGATCAGAACTGAAACAAGTGAGATCAAATAAGCTCCTTTGAAATAGGTCTGTCCACACTTATATTCTGTTTTAGACCAATTTAGGTGGAAATCTATTACCTAAACCCACATTCATTGATATCATATTCTTGTCTTATATTTCTTTGCCTTAGGCAGGATTTGTCTGTGATTCTGACTGGGTCTGACTACAAACTGAAGATATCTTAATTAATAACAGGGCAGGAAGAATTGAGTGGGGAAACAAGGCCTTTGGACGGTAGATAAGTATCCAAATCTATGTGGGCAAAAAGAGTAAGCAACATCCCCTGGGATTTTTCCATGTGGGTATCATTGAGCAAAGCTGCTGTGGGAAGATATGTAGATTAATGCAGGGTTATTATGGAGGAAATAACTCACAGGATGATTTCATAGCCTGGCTAGATTACTACTTGATTAATTCCTGATAAAACTCAGAGCGCACAAAGCGAGGCAGAGAATCCTTTTCCATCAGGGCATGGATTCTTTTCTGGGCCATGTCAAAGCTGCTCAGGGAAGGTTCCACCAGGTTCTTCATTGTGATGTCCTTAGTGAAGTGGTCAATATTCACCTGTGGGCCAGGAAACAGGGTCACTACATAAGCCTAGGTTATAGAATTTGACGAGTCACGAAGAAGGAGGTAGAATTTCTTGTCAATAAAACATAAGAGGGGAGGAAAGTCATTAAAAAGTGAGACATGTCACTTCTCACTTTATAGGCAATGGGTTAAGATAGCTGATGTTCCAACAGATGCATCCAAACAGTATTAGACACCCACCAGGTGTCAGACCTCCCATAGAAGCTAACACACACATTACTTATTTAATCCTTGACAACAATCCTGAGAATGATTCTTCCCTTTTATAGAAAAAAATATGTGTATGCAGAAGGTTAAGAGGCTTCCCCAAGATCACAGAACTGATATGTGTATTTGAATCTAGAGAATCAGAACTTGAATCCAGGTATCCTGGGGCCTTTTTCTTTTCTTTTCTTTTCTTTTCTTTTTTTTTCAGATAAGAGTCTAGCTCTGTCACTCAGGCTGGAGTGCAGTGGTGCCATCTTGGCTCACTGCAACCCCTGCCCTCTGGGTTCAACTGATTTTCCTGCCAGAACCTCCCGAGTAGCTGGGATTACAGGCATGTGCCACCACACTGGGTTAATTTTTGTATTTTTGGTAGAGACGGGGTTTTGCCATGTTGGCCAGGCTGGTCTCGAACTTCTGACCTCAGGTGATCTGCCTGCCTCGGCCTCCCAGAGTGCTGGGATTACAGGTGTGAGCCACTGCATCCGGCCCTGGTGCCTAATTTTAAAATTCTAACACAATATTGGGTTTCATATCTAGTGGAGGAATTGAACAGAGAGAAGTAAATTCTCACTGAGGATCCAGGACCATTTTCGTGGCTCCAGAAGAACAAGAAAACTTGTTCTTTCCAAAAACAAACCAGGAAACAGTCATTCTGACAGAATAATAATGAAAACAGCTAAGAGCAATTAACATTTATTGAGTGCTCGGTCTGTGCCAGGCACTTTGCAAGGATGAACTCATTTAATCTTACAACTCTATGAGGTATAATAGATGCTGTCATCTACATTTTACAGTTGAGGAAACAGATGCACAGAAATGTTACATGATTTACTCAAGGTTCATGAATGGTAGAGAGAAGATTCAGAAACCCAGTGATGTGGCTCTAGTAGACTCCAGCACTGGGATGTGCTGTGGCTTACATGTCCTGAGTGCAGGGCCTGTACATTGCAACCATACTAGGGTCTATGTGAATGGTTCCTCTGGAGTTGTGCAAGGTGCAGCCTGTTTGAACTTGGCTAACTATGAGTTTAAAGGAATCTTTACACTCTATGTTGTAAGATTTAATGATTCTTAAGGATTTTGAGTGTAAAAGAGACAGAAATAGAATCCAAATCAGCCTATGGTTGTGAATTGAAACGTTGATAAAGGTTTTGGGTCTCTCCTGGGCTGTTAGAGGTTCTTGGTACTAAATAGAGTTCTTTGGGCTCAGAGAATTATGAAGCAGCTATTAGTTGGAGTTGGAGACAAAATGCATGATTCCCTGAGGAGCCAGGTCAGAACAGACAGCAGGAATGAACTGTTCTTCAAAGTCCAGGATGAAGGGCGTTGAGCTACAGCAAGATTTTCCAGAGGTGAAAGGGGTCAGCGTACTTTATGCAGGCCTGGTGGAAGACCAGACTGTCAGAATTGGGATTAGCGTCAGAGCCGACGAAGTCCAATGTCTGCCTTTAAATGGGAAGACCTCAAAGAGCTCAGATTACATGCCCACAAACAGCTAGTGCGAATTAGAGGTGAGACTGTAACATAGATTTCTCTGTTCTCAGTCTATTACTCTTCCCGCCACACTGAAAGCAATGCTTCTTCCTTCTCTTATATTAAATATATATCTGTATTGAGCTGAGTAAACAGGTTTATTCCAAATGATTGAGATTCTAAAACTTATAAAAGTAGCTCCTAAGCTTATTTTTTAAAGGAGTGATGCATTTTAAACCCTCTAGGACATAGTATCCACCAGCAAATAGCAGCGATTTCTCTTATTATTTTTATGTGCTTAAGCCTTCTTTAATGAGTCATTCTGATACATATTTATCTGTTTAGTTATCCAGAAAAAATATTATTTCATTAATTTGAAATATGGTCAAATGATAATTTGCAGTGTATAAATTATCTACTTATTGACCTCCACATGGCCATTTCTCTTGTTTAAATTTAGTTCCAATTCTTACCATTGTATCTCTCAGTCAGTGTCTTGTATTAAAGACTTGAGGTGAGTATTCAGAGAAACAAAACTCAGATTACTATTTGCCTGGGTAATTAATCTAGGTCTTATATAGGTCAATTTCACCAAAATTAAATAGTAAATATTTACGCCAAAATACAAAATTCAGAGAATTTTTTAAGTAATAAAAGCTATGATTTAACATACTTCAGATGCACATACATATACACAATATGTTTACAGTTAGAAGAACTGAGGATTAGAGAGCTATAGCTAGAGACTTGCCCACATCTAAGAATGTCTGAAGTTGGATATTTTCATGCTTTCATCTCAAAAATATTTCTTGAATGCTTTTCATGTGCTAGGAGTAGGATTCACATTCTCTCTAACGCCCAGCTCAGGATCATTATTCCACATAATTCTGGGATGCCTGTATTTGGGGTCTAATGTATCCTATTGTACCCTTGCATAAGCATAGATCATTTAGAATGAAGGGCGAGGCTGTTTTAATTATAGTCTTGCCACTAGTCACCACAATTTATTTGTAACTCAGCGAGCCATGGTATTATTTATTTTAAAATTATATTTTAGATTAATGTCTCATATTTTCATAATAACCAATAATGTTTTCCCAGAGCTCAGAGTAACTAACAATTATCTGAGTGGGGTTTCTACCATTTGTAGGTATTTCGGCAAATCCTAGAATTCTGTGAAGAGGAAGTCAAGTGATAGGAAGGTAAGTTGGAGAATCCTTTGAAATGGGGAAATGCATGTCCAATTTAATATTAAATTAATCTTCTTGTCAGTATATACAGAGAAATAACATGCTGACAGAAGAAAGGATGGCCCAGCACAAATGATAACAGAAGTAGGGTAGAGCTAACATATGTGCTTAGGGTGGAGGTTGAGGAGAAGAAGGGGTGATCTGGAGAGAATTTCAAGATCAATATCCACATCAAAGCTAAATCTAGCTTCTTTCTAGGACCTTTTCATTTTCGTGGCTTTGACCCACAGTACTCTACATTCGCATATTCCTAACCTCCAACCCTGTGTCACGGAGGAGGCACATCTACTAGTACCAAGGTACATAATTTGTCCATCCACTCAAACACATTTAGGGTAACTCATAACTAAAGAAATACATATCTAATGGTGGAACTCCAGGAATCTAGAGCGTCTGCGGTAGAAAAGGGATATTTGGGAGTGTTTTTCTCTCAAACATCTTAAGCAGATTGCTGCCTACTCACAAGGCTTGCCCAGATCACCTCTGTGCCTGACTCCAAACCTTGATGAAACATTCAATTTCCTGACTGGTTGAAAAGAAACAAGTGAAATTAGCGCAACCTGACCAAACTCTGATGAACAGGGCTTGCTGTGGCCATCCTGAATTCCACAATAGGCTTTCAATGTGGTTTTATAAATAACAAAGAAAAAAGCAGATCAACTTCCCCAAAGTTTCTTTGAAATCAACAAAAATCTGGGCTTTAGTAGTCAGTCAGTGGTATATTGGCTTTCAACATCTCTAGCACCGCTTTCTTGTTATATTTTGATTTTCATGAGTAAATGTACCATTGTCCCAACTACAGTGTAAATGGCAAAGTCCAAGTGGGAAAATAAAGGATAAAGAAGAGTAGAGAGGGCAAAAAAGAGAGGTGTTTAAAGGAAAGAATAGGAATGGGAAAAGAAAGAGGAACAAAGAAAAGTTGTAGAAATACTCATTAGGCATTAATGAGTTCAGACACTGAGATACTGGTTGATGTAGTTTGACTTTGTCCCCACCCAAATCTCACCTTAAATCGTAATAATTCCCACATGTCAAGGGCAGGACCAGGTTGCAATAATTGAATCATGGGGGTAGTTTCCCTTACACTGTTCTCGTGATAGTGAGTGAGTTCTCACGAGAGCTGATGGTTTTATAAGGGGCTTTCCCCTTCACTCCACTCTTATCCTCTCTCCTGCCACCCTGTTAAGTGGTGCCTTCTATCTTGATTGTAAGCTTCCTGAGACCTCCCCAGCCATGCAGAACTGTGAGTCAATTAAACCTCTTTCCTTTATAACTTACCAAGTCTTAGGTATTTCTTCACAGCAGTGTGAGAAAGGAATAATACACTGGATGAATATCACGGAATGCTTGGGACCAGAAGTGTTTCAGATCTTGAATTTTTTTGAGATTTTGAAATATTTGCACGTACATAATGAGATATCTTAATATGAGACCTAAGTCTAAACACAAAGTTCATTTATGTGTCATATATACCTATAAATATAATGTGAAGGTAATTTTATGTAATATTTTAAATAACTTTGTGCATGAAAAAAGTTTTGGCTGTATTTTGACTGAGACCTATTGCATGAGGTCAGTGGAATTTTCCACTTGTGACATCATGGTGCTGAAAAAGTTTCAAACTTTGAGGCATTTTGGATTTTGAATTTTCAGATCAGAGATGTTCAACCTGTATAAATTTTTATGCCCACTATTTAATTTAATCCTGACAACATCTCCATAAAGTAGTCTCCATTATTCTTATTTTCACAAAGGAAGAAATGAGACTCAACAACTCATGCAAGATTTCACATTGGTATGATCCCCACTGGAGGTTACATGCTAGTGAGGTGAGACCCATAAAACTAGAAAGCGGTCTGAACAGGATTCATGTTCATATATACTTGACCATATTGCTCTGCCTTTGTACTCAGTGGGTGCTTAATAAGGTGGCTGACTCACAGATAGGACTAGCCTTTGGCTCCCAACGGGAGGTCTGTGTCTCAGATGTAAATCCTTCCTGAGAGCTAATGAGCTGCCCTTAACTGACCCACCTACCCACAGACCAACCTCTTTAGGAGCCTCTGTTTGAATGAATTCTTCATATATTTGCTTTGCCTTCTCAGTCATCTTGGCAGGGGACTTGATCTTCTTGTAATCCTCACAGGCAATCCAGAACTCAAGGTTTTCCTCACTGAATTCAGACTTCAGGAAACTTTTGAAACTGGCAAGTCCATCTAGAAACAAAAAAAAGTCAGTTGGAGAAATGTATTAATTTACTTAACAAATGGCATACCATTCTATATAGCCTAGTCTTACTTAACGTTGTTCTGTCATTTACGTAAGAATCTTACAAATGTTAACTCATTTAATTTTCCTTAAAAACCTAAGAGGCAGGTGCTATCGATATCCCATTCCCTAAATGAGGTCAGAAAGATCAAATGACTTTCCCATAAATAACCAGCTGCTAGTGGCAGAGCCAGAATTCAAACCCAGGGAAGTCTGACTCAAGAGTTCGTGCATTTATCCATTATTCTAAGCTACTTCTCAAGAGGTGCATAATTCAGCTTCTTGGAAAAGAAACTGTCCAATAATGACTGCCTGCTTTCTACTGCACTTGGACTGGGAGAAAAATACAAGGCCAACACAAAGGTTATATCCGCGAGAGAAAGGGAAGGGGCTTACCAATACTATTCTATGCACAAAGTTTTAGCTCATTCATGTCTAGCTTCCTTTACTCCTTCATTCGAATGCAGAAGGAATGAGACAGAGATGGAACATAGACAGCAGAGAACACAGAGCTCAAGCCCTGCTCATCATGCAGAGCTGTATGGAACTCTAGAACTACATAGATTTACCACATTGTCTTTCCAAACAATCAAATGCAATGTCTATTTAAGTGACAAATGTTTACCTATTTACGTATCAAGGAACACTATTAACACTAATGCCATTCTGGATACTTAACAAACTACCAAGGAGAAAATAATACATTTAAAACTTGGCTGGTCTCTATAAGTAACGTTAATGTTAAGTATCACTATGAACTACTTACAATTCTTTATTTTCTCTTTGTACAGATGATTTTTGTTTAACTATTATGTTCCAAGCACTATGATAAGTCACCATGATAAGTAAAATAGACATGGTTCCTGTCCTAATGGTGATTATAGATTCTGGAAAAAGTAGAAAGAAAATGAAGAAACAGAAGAAACATTTACACAATGAAAGGAAAACTGTATGAAAGGTAGCAACAGAGTCACAGGAGAGTACTGACTTTATTTTAGGCTAAGGGAAAGCAAGGAAGTAACATTCAATTTGAGACCCAAAGGATGAGTGGGAAAGGGCCAGATGAAGTTACCCCATGTAGTGTACTTACCATGTCCATCAATTATACATCAGGTTTTTTTAACATGTTGAACTTAATATGATTATAGCTATCATGATTCTGTTTCTGGTGTACAATTGCTTATGTAGGATAAACTTTAGTTTATAATTTAAAAACTATATCTATATATAATATATAGATATAGTCCATATAGATAAAGCCTATTATATAAAGATATAGTTTTTAGTTGTAAACTAAAACTATAAGACTAAAATTATAAAATTATAAAACTATGTATATGTAAGGATTCTTAGGCCTGATCCAATATTTTCCTTCTCCTTAATGCTGAATATATATATGTATTATTCAGCATATATTACACACACACACACACATATAAATATATATATATATACACCAAAATTCTAAACAATATATAGCTATAGGGAGAGAATTCATGTTCATTTAATATCTAAGAAAAGTAAAGATTTCAAATGAGAGAGAAAAACTCTAATTTTCCAGAGGCTGTGTCAAAATCACAGACCTACCCTCAGTAACACGTTTCGAATGTCGCTTTGCCCCCCCCCGGGCAGAAGGTAGGATTATTGTCACCAGTACTTTAGAGTCTAGTTTTCTCTAATTTGCCCCCACCTGGAGACACTTCTGCAATACATTAGTTGTGCTTAGGGATCATATTTACATTCTGAGTTCATTTCCTTTGGCCTAATTTCCATTTATTCTTTTTCCCTATTCTTTTTATAGGCTCTAAATTTGTATTTATTAGTCATTGCCAATACATTGATTTCACACAAGCATAAAATGTAAGCAATGATAAAAACAAAGACACTATATATAGTTTTCCATTTTCAATTTACCTCCTGTATAATTTTACTGTTCTCATACCCTTCACAGTACCCTGAAACCATACCCAATTTTAAAGAAAAGAAATGGCTAGGATGATAATTAACTTGTATTAGGGTCACCATCAATTTCAGGATCCAAACAAGATACTTTGCAATTTGATCCCTTCTTCCTGTACTTACCTTAAATACATTTTCAATCGATTAACAATACAAAATATCTAGGAGCAATGGTAGGTATAAAAAACAATTTTCAACACTTGTGAAAAGAAGGGAAAAGAAAAAAAAAGAAAAAAACCACAATTTTTTTCTAGAAACTTGGCCTTAAGAATTACTTTAAAACCATTTGATAACCTGTTAACTGGATAAAATCAGGTGTATTTTCTCTCTCTTCTAATATTTCCTACTATATTTCCAGCACTATTTGTCTTAACTTAGTGACACGAGAGTTAATGTAAGTGCTAAAAGAAAAATATAAGACTTGTTTCTCTCTCTGTCATGGTAAGATGTCCATTGTTTCTTAAACAAAAGGTGTCAGATAGTCTCTGTTAAAATGAAAACATTCTCAGGCACGTTTTAGCTTACAGGAAATGAAGTCTTACAAGCTCCCACACAATAAGGTCTAAGACGGTGGAGGCAAAAATAATTCCACAGACTAACTCTGTGACAAATTTATTCTCATTAGCCCCATATCCCCACAACCTCTCTCTGAATCACCCATTCTGCATCTTTGGAAAGCGTAGAGACAAAATCTCAGTCCTCCCAAACATTCTTATTTGTGACCCGGGGATGTATGTCGGGATTCCGCAGAAATGTTCACATTTACTGTCTTTCCAGGGAATAAGCTTGCAAAATAACTTTCCTGTGCAGCAAGTCCATTTCCTGGATACTAATTTCATAACTTTCGTTAAATTCCACAATATTCCTTTAACTTTTTTGTTCATGTATGACTCATAAAATAGCTTTACATTGCATTGGTCTGTAAGATGTGTAAAGCTATTCCTTCTCTAAATCTGTGCCTTTTGGGCACTCTCTAGAGGGTCCCTCTAAAGCCACCCCTGAGACACCTTCTCCTCTTTAGCCTCTGGTTGTCTGTCAGTTCCTTCTTCAGCCATTCTCTCTGTTTAGTTCCTATCACCCCTGTGGACATCCTATTGGGTCAGAGTCAAACACAATCTAGGCCGAATGTCTCTATTCTGCAAAGAACACCCATTTCTTCTTTGCCCTACCACCATTCTTCTACCCACTCCAGTAAAGCCTCAGCACACCTCCCTGACAGATCACCACATTCTTCCCTGCTGAGCCTGCACCGAACCTCTCAACCCACCTCTCCAGGCATCCACTATCTAGAAAGCCAATGAAACCCACATGATTATCTGGTCTTAGGGAAACACTCCGGGTTGTAATCTACATTACAATTCCAGAGTTTGCCCTAATGAACGGTGTCACTTTTGACATCCATGTAAACTAGCAGCCAGCCCTACCTAAGAACAAGATGAAAATACTTATAAAATCCCTTTGAAAATTAAAGGAGCATTAGACAAATCCAAGTCAGTTTGCTATAAAGGAAAAAAAATTAAAAACTAGATTAATGCAAATCTCTTCAACCAGGGGGGATAAAAATGAAGTCATTGATAGTTGATAAGCACCATTTCTAACTTATTGGTTCAAAATTATATTATTGCGATAACTTGAGCAAGTCATCAAATCTCTGAGACTGTTGCATCATCTGTGAAATAGAGATACTAATGCAACCTATCTGATGGGGTTGTGCTAAGAAATAAATGATTCATATAAAGTTCTTACATGGTACCCGACATAATTATCATTATGTAGCTCAATACATGTTGGCGTTCTTTATCGTTATTCATTACAAATTTAAAATTAATATTTTAATTAATTAAAAGCCCAACTCCAATGTTGCCCTCATCTGTGAGGTAGTCTTTACCTACTACCATTGACTTGCTCTTGAGGATTTTTATCATTATGAGAGAAGCAGTCATTTTCTGTTCTTTTGTTGGGATTGTTTGCTTCTATATCTTTTCCATGAGGCTGTTCATTCTTCGAGTTCAAGGTTTGAGTTTCACCTGTTTGCTCCTCTTTTGCATTCCCACCTCCCAGTCTAAATCTGCGCACCTAACATTTAATAGAGGTTCCCACAGAAATAAGACACATTCAGGGAAGCATTTCCTTCCAAGTGACAGAGTCAAACAGCACTAACTTTAAAAAAAGTAATTTATGGATTTTGCTGTTATTATAGCATTTTATTTCATGGGCAAGTTGCCTAATCCCCCTTAATCTCAATTTCATTTTCTGAAAACTAGGGATTGTGATGGCACTCAAATCCTAAAATCATTGCAATCATTAAATTAACTAACATATGCAAAGTGCTTAGAACAGTGCTTGGCACATGATGAATAATAAGTGTTAGCTATTGCTTTTATTATTATAATAATTATTTTCAAGGAAATTATGGTTGCCCATGAGGGAGATAATGACAAAAATGAGCCAGAAACGAGAAGGAAGAAAACCAAAGAGAAAGAAGCAAAAGAGTAGTGCAAAGATGGAAACAAAAAGATGTGTCTGCATCCAGGCTCCTTCAATCCCCATGGACAAATAAATCGCAAGGGTGTTTCAGGGAGAGCTCTGACCTTCTGGAACTCCTTGGGAAGGGAGATTCACATAAAAACTTTGCTGCTTTTGGCTTGTTTCATTCTTCTCTGCTCTTAAAAATGGTTATGTGGGGAACTATTAAATGTCACTGTCTTATTTAAACTCCCATGTGCAATCTATTTTTGTGTTTGAAGAACAACACACTGTTTATACGCCCCATGTGCCTATGAAATGAAAACAGATGGTGCCACCTAAAGAATTGAAGGCAAAACATGTAGGAAGTTGATGTACTTTCAGAACACACTCACATATACTGGATGATTAAAATTTACTTTAAAAATGAAGGAAGGTAAGAAGAATCTTGTTAGAAGAGATTGAGTAGCAACTTAACTGTCTTACAATTTTTAGAAGCTTGGTACCAATTAACTTCATTTTCACTCAGTAAAAATTAAGAAAGATGTGAAAATAAGGCATTCTTGGGGAACTATTTAACATGTGAAAGTCAATATCCTACATTAACATCACAATGCCAAATTTCCCTTATAAATTGACAAAGACGCTACTACTCCTCAAGGTTAAATGGTTTAAATTTATCAAATCAAACATGCAAAAACAGATTGTGAAGTGGTTTGTCTTTATTTGTTTTTATAGCAACAGGGTCTCTCTCTGTGGCCCAGGCTGGAGTGCAGTGGTATGATCCTGGGCTCAAGCCATCTTCCGGTCTCACACCTGGCTAATTTTCTTTTCTTTTCATTTCTTTCCTTTTCTTTTCTTCTATTCTTTTCTTTTCCTTTCTTTCCTTTTTGAGATGGGGTCTTTTTATGTTGCCCAAACTGGTCTCAAACTCCTGGCTTCAAGCAATCCTCCTGCTGCAGCCTTCCAAAGTGCTGGGATTACAGGTATGAGCCACTGCACTTGGCCCCAATTGTGAAGTTTTAGATACATATATGTCCCAGATGTATCTTTCTTCATTACCTGTTTTGCATCAGCCACAGCTAATGTTGGGTAATTTCTGATTATAGACTACTAGTTTTTGTGGATTCAAATAAGAACTTCCCATAAGAACTGATTTGTCGGTTTGGCTTACAGTTATTCATGATATTCTATAGCTGGTGCCTGGGAAAATAGGTCAAATATTGTCTCTTCAGGTCAGTGATGTTGGAGTAGAATTATCTGGGCATGCCTGGCATTCCACTGGTTCCTCTCTAGGAACAGCTAGACAGAGAGAAGCAAAGGGCAAAGACAGCATGGCAAGAAAGACACAGAAAAAGACAAGTCATTGGGAGAAGCAGAGACAGATAAAGAAGAAGAGAGCAATAGAGTGACGATAAGAGTAGAGAACTAGAGAGGGGAGAGACTGTCTAACTTACTGACGGCTTCGCTTCCCAGAGGGCATGGCTTGCCTTTGTTTCTGTGAGATCTCCATACCATAACACTTATTTTTTAGTTGGGCTACTTTGAATGGATTAGTGTCCCTTTTAAGGAAAGCATTGATTAGAATACTTATAAATGCTTTCCTATTTGTTGCTTTAGGGAAATTAATTGCCCAGGTCTTAAAAATATTAATTACTTAAGAAAATAATTATGTGGAACTTATATATAAACACACAGGCAAACACACACAAGAATACATACACATACATACTACATACACATATATACACATATATAATTTTAAAATGCATATAGAAATTAAATGAAATATTGTTACATATATATACACACACACACACACATACATGTGTATACACACACACATACCTGAATACACACAGGTGTATGTATATTTTCCCCTCTGAGAAGTAGAAAATATTACTGTGAGGCTCTCGGGCCTCAATCTCATACCATGGTAACCATCTGTTTGCAAGCTGAAAATCTTCAGTCCTTCAACAAACACTAACTGCCTCTAGCTTAACTCTCTTTAACTCTGTCTAACCCTAGCTGTCTTATTCCAGTAGCTCTCTGTCTCCTAAAAGCCTGAAATATGTAGACATGTGGCCCTAAGGTTTTAGTGTGACTGAAAAGGATTGCATACGGGCACATAAATATTTATTATTCTCCTTAATGGTTTTGAAAACATGAAAATAGTTCTGCTAACTCTCAGGTTTTTTGACAATAGCAATAAATATCTGTGCTCAGAGTACTAGTATTCATAATTTATCAATAGGTCAACTGCCAATCTGCTATTGGCCCAGAAACCACTGGGGCAAGATAATAAGTCCATTAATAAACATAAATATTATTCTACTAGTTGACCTCATGGAATTTCTAGGTCCAAGAAGCAAAATGAATTAGTTCATTCACTTATTCACTACATAAATATTCACCAAACCTCTTATATGTGTCAGGGCAGGGTACTTTGTTCAGCATAAGAAAAAAAGAGAGAGAATCAGAAATGAATAAGCAGAGAAAGTTCCAAATTAGAGACTGTGGTGTTCTGTCTCCAATAATAAAAGATTAATTATATTGCAGGTAAGCAGAAAATCTTATGACACCAAAAGCAAGACATAAGGAATGTTCATATACAATTCAACATATATTCTTTGTCATCTATTCTGTGCCCATTAATCATAATGGTCTTATGAAAAATATTTTGTAAATCCTTATTTTTGCAAAGCATGTAACAAAGTTCTATATTCCATTCTTGTTATAAAGATGGAGAAATATAGGTGGGGTATTTTAAATTGACTCATACTTTTAGAGTGAATTATTCAACAAATATTTGTTTTCCCTATACTATATACTTCCTGTTGTGAAACTATCTACATGAAAAAGACTAACTCTTGCCCGTTGGTGAGTTTATAACCTATCATAGAAGGGAGCCAACTATGAACAGAACACAAGGCAACAAGTATTAAGTGGCATAAAAGATGTGCGGACAAATGACTTTGGAAGTTCAGAGGGTGGATAAATTGTTCTGGATGGTCAAGGAACACTAGGCATTTCTTATTTGAATTATCTATTATAGGAGAGGGAGAATTTGAAGAGAGAGAGATATGAGTAAAAGATATTCCACAAGGGGACTATATGGAGAAATCCTGTATGGAACAGAGAACTGTTCAATTTGCCTACAGACCAGCCATATAGTTGTGGTGATCTTGAACATCAGAAATTTGAACTTGATACTATAAGTCATGGGAATCAGTAAGGATTTTGGATTGGGGAAAGGCACCTAGTTCTTATTGATGCACTGGTATTAGCTTGGAAAAGAGTCTGCACTGATCATCACCTTTATCATTCCTTAAATGAAGATGTAAGAAGCATGGTGCCAGAAGAGGAAACTGAGGCTGGGGGAGATAACAACCCATGTCAGGTCACAAAAGCAGTTGACAGTATAATAGTTTGAACTAGGATGACTTGAACTCATGACTTGTTAGCGATCTTTACGCTGCTATATCTGATCTTTATTAATTTATTATGAAGCTAAGTAGAAAACCTAGTTTCTCTATTTTACTGATGAGAATGTTGAGGAGGTCAAGCCACGTGTTCCGGCTCACGCAAGTAAGCAGGACAGATGGGAACACAATTGCAATCATGAGTCTTCAGAACACCTTATGTTCACATTCCCCCATAGTGCCACAGACCCTCCTTTTCTTGTGAACTGGATAATCACATACCCGCAGCCCCCTTCCCTTATTGATACCACCTTCAAAAATTGAAGAAGTGTCAAAATTGGGGAAGAAGAATACAGGTAACACAAAAGTGTTTTTTGTTTCTGTCCCAAACTTGACCTTTATTTAAAAAAACAAGGGAAACTTACAGTTGTTCTGCAGGAGTTTGTCCAGGGAATCACGCCACTGCAGGGCCTCATCCAGCGAGGGTCTACAGCAATTATAAGGAGAGAAAAGGGGTATGGCATAAGTAGGCATTGAAGCACATGTACCAGCAATAACTACTTCCTGTTTCTCTCAGATGGAAATGACATGACTGCTGGTCTATCCTCAGGATAAGGAAGTTTGAGTTATTTTCTCTCTAACAATTGGGTTTGATGAGCTAGGTTTGCTTTCATACATCTTTATTGCATATCTTCATCTTTTTTGAACATTTTGGTTAGGTCTTTCCCTTTTTAAAAGTAGAGTTTGTTTGACATTAAGCTGTGTCTTGATATTGTTTATCTATTCTCTCTCTCTTTTTTGTTTTCTTTCTATTTTGATTCATTCCTATTTTCTCCTTCTGGTTTTCTTGAATTGATATTCTTATATATCCCATGAAAGTTGTTACAATTGTGGTCTTTTTTCCAAATATAACTTCATGAAATCTAGTTGTCCCATTACAGAGATTGAACTCCTGTTTTCTGCCTCACCAATACTGCATGTTAACCAACTAACTGAATCAGCAGGGGGCATTGGGGCTCCACATCCACATCCCAAAGCCATCTAATTAAGGCTAGTGGAAGATATGAGTGTATAATACTTTCCTTACGTTGGGATTGTGATCATAGCAAATTTACATGTTAAAAAATGTAGGTGCATTTTTCCTACCCACTTAGAACAGGATCAGACTTTTTAAAAAAGATTTACTCTGTCTAATTTAAAAAAAAAAAAAAGAGTGGTTAATATATCCTGAATTGGAATGTTACACACAAATGCTCAAGATGCTGACTAAAAAGGAGAAGGTTATAGCCAACATATAATTTCTCCTTAGGCTTTTTCTATTTTAACATTTATGTATGCAGAAACCCTGCAGCTATTTCATCTCAACCACCAATTTTTCTCTCACAGCAGGATGTGTCAAGTGGAGCTGGTATTGTCTGGGAAAAATGGCTGACTGCACACACTTCGGCTCACCCGGCTCGAACTCTTGCATTATGATGTGAATTCTTCATTGTCAAATCAAAACAGACTGACAAAGCATTTACTAGAATAGTAAGGCCAATTCAGGTGTTTTTCCTAAACTGGAATTTCCTTAGCTCTTAATTTGTTTATCAACTGGCCAGGCAATCAAAAAAAATTCCTGCTTCTAGTTTGTATACAATGATATATCGGGGTGGGTTAATTATTCAGATTAGTAGCTTTGGTTGATATGACAGTTGTTTGTTCTACTTTTCATTTTCATTTTGCTGTCCCAGGTGCAGAATCAGCCTCACTTTACTTATGTAAGGAGTCCAAGACGGCAGTAGGTTTGGGCTAAAGTATTATGAATAATCCCTTTACTTCTCTATTCCTCATTGCAGAACATGCATAGGTTTTGAGTCCTGATTATATGATGTTTCACAAAATTTTATGTGTTCACTCTTTGCAAGTTAAACTCGCCAAATTGAGGGTAACAAACCTTGTGAAATAATCTTGGGTGGTTTCTGTTTTCCTGGCTAGAAACACAGGCATCATAGATGGAAAATATACTAATGCCTCAGAAATTTATTTCTGACACGAGCTACCCATCCCTCTTCCCATTTCCTCTGGCTAGTATAAAGGATCACACGAAGAAAAAAAAATGGCAGGAACAGGGTGATTATAAGTATGTCTCTATAGCATTCTGCTTCGTTTTATTTCTAACCAGAAAAGGACCTGTCTACTAGACGTTAATAACTCATCTTGGCTCTTTTATATTACTGCAGGTGGAGAACTGTTTTCTGTGCATATTATTTCATACCTACATGTTTAGCACAAGGTCTTACACACCTTACATTCTTCACTATAGTAGGTTCAATGTTTTGCACATAATAGACACCCACCAAGTCCCTATTCATTGTTCACAGAAGCCGCAGGACATTAAATTATTAGACAAAAGAAAGTAGCTCAGAGCAAGAGGAAGGCTGGTTTACTCACAGGATCTCCTGATTTTATAAATATTCTCATTAAATGAAATCACTTTCCTGCCTCACTTTTCCTCTGGTTAGTATAAAGGAGCAAAGGAAGAAGAAATGACATGAGCAGGTACACCAAACTTAAGCATGTTATCCGATCTGATTTGTCCCAAATGGTCTTGTTGGAACCAGGCTAATGGTCAATAACAACAGCACATCACAGCCAAGATTAAATTCCTGAAAAGGAAATGTGCAGAGCCTGCTTAGGGGTGAAATTGGTTCAAATTGATTTAAGGGCACAGTCAAGTAGGACACATCCCCCACAGCATGAAGCCCAGTGTTTTGATTACCAGCCTAGGAGTTAACAGAGGTTCATCCTGTCCTTATTCTCAGAATTTGCGAGTCCTCATTAGGTCTGACTTCACTGGAAACAAGATAGATGCAGATCTAAATGGCCAATAAATGTCCTGGTTTGCAAGGTCATAGCTGACCACAGAGGATGGGTATGGAGTTTCTGTGTGTGGGAGTGTGGGGGAGAGAGAGGAAGCTATTTCAAATGAAACTCAAAATAAACATTTATAGAGATGATTAACCACATGTTTTATAATGCCTAGTGTAAATGCCACCTGGCCCAGGAAGTGGCCATCTCTGCTGGAAGCACTGTCTCTCTTTTTGCTCTACTCTTACTGCTTTTACTCACTGAATCTCTCATATGGCAATGATGCACTCACTGCGAAAGGGCATAGGTTGTCATGCACAGAGAACTTTTCCCATTCCACCCTAACCCATGGTGTATCAATCCACCTTGCAATAAATGTGTGTCGGATTAATAAGTAAATGAATGACGGTTTTGTCCTGAGTTAGCCTGGTTTATGAAAGCCACAAATAACCCCAAACTCAGATTTTAATGACCAGTCCCATGAACCATTACTACTGCTATTGGCAATGCTGGCACTTACTAGCTATAACCTCAAGTGCCTGTGGTGGGTTTTTTGTTTGTTTTTGGTTTTTGTTTTGTTTTGATTTTTAATCTGTGCAGTGCCTGGCACATACTTAAATGTCTTAAAAATGTTCTTACACATTGATGCTCATAACAAGGAAAAGAAAATTCAAGTTATTTACTGTGAATTAGATGTCCCCTCTCCCTGCCTGCCTGACAGTGAAGTCTGCTCATGACTAGGCTCAAGTTTATGAGCATTTATTGAGCCCTTACCTGATAACCAGTGGTGACCTGGGCACCACGGTTGGGCATACAGACTTAAGAACAAGTAAAACATGTCATTTTTGGACATCCATATGCAGGCCTGAAATTGTGCATAGATCCTTAGTCTTCACAACCAGGCTCACTCTAACCAGGTGAGCGTATGCAGGACAACTTTCTGTAACTGTTTTCCACTAGCACAGGCTAGGTACTGTTTATGTGTGGAGGTCATTCTTTAGTATAAAATGATCACTACAACAATAAACCAGAAAAAGGGGTTAAAAATTGCTGACATAGGCAGGGGAAAGGGAGACATTTATAATATAAAATAAACTACGTGAATATCTATATCAGCTCCTAACATTTTACAATTGATGATATTGTAAGCCATGATAACAGTTATCACAAACTAAACCTATGTGGTTGATTAATGTTGTCTATTGTTTCTTGGGAGGACCTACAGCAGAGCCTTAAGGAATGCTCATATCCAGAGGGTGAGCAACAGTGGGAGCACTTAGAGAAAGAGAAGGCAGGAGGGGAATGCAGGACTAGAAGTCAAGGAAGAGAGTTTTAAGAGTAGGTCAACTTGGCCGGGCACGGTGGCTCACGCCTGTAATCCCAGCACTTTGGGAGGCTGAGGCGGGTGGATCACCTGAGGTCGGGAGTTCGAGACCAGCCTGACTAACATGGAGAAACCCGTCTCTGCTAAAAAATACAAAATTAGCCGGGCGTGGTGGTGCATGTCTGTAATCCCAGCTACTCGGAAGGCTGAGGCAGGAGAATCGCTTGAACTCGGGAGGCAGAGGTTGCAGTGAGCCGAGATCGCGCCATTGCACTCCAGCCTGGGTGAAACAGCGAACTCCGTCTCAAAAAAAAAAAAAAAAAAAAAAAAAAAGTAGGTCAACTGGTGAGCCATCAAATGCTGCAGACAAGTCACAGATGGGGCCTTAGTTCGGGTGAGGTAGTAAGGTTGAAGCTGGATAATAAGGAGATACAGAAAAGACTGAAAGCCGTGAGTACAGACTTCTCTTTCTACAGTTAGCCAATAAAAGTAAGAGAAAGGTAGAGAAGCAGAAAGAGAGAAAGGCGGGGAGAGAATTTTTCAGCATGGGACATGGGTACCTGTTTGCTTCTAGGGGAAGAGGGTCCACAGAGCAAAAGGGCAACTAAAACTGCAAAAAGGGGAACAGAGCTGTCTTTAGGGGGTAGGAATATAAGCACTTATTTCTGTTTTTCTCAATGGTCCATTTTTTTAAAAAAATGAGAACTCAAAACTACATGTTAAAAAATAGAAAATGGTTTTAAAAAAACGGATTACACTGATGTCAGTAACCCAAAGAATATGAGAGGGGTTAAAAATACCTCCAATCAAGAGAAGGATTATTTTCCCCTCTGAAAGAAGAACGTGAGTTAAAAATACAGAGAAATTTTAAAGTGAGAGAAGAGACAGAGAGATGGAGCTGATGTGGAACACAGTATTTCCTGTCAGATAAATGGCATAGAAAGTTGCCAAACATGAGGAGGTGGGATGGGGTTTATGGATTCAGAAAAGAGTGGGAAACTTTTTTATTGGTCACTGTTGAAAATGCAATGGACACAGAATTATTCTCTAGGGAGATGAAGGAATTTTCCAAAACAATTTAGGCTTCTGGAGGAAGAAAGAGGATGGAAGACAAGAGAAGTAAATAATCCAATAAATGGTCAGCCCCAGGGTTTCTGCCAAAACAGCTTCTCTCTGAATCCCTTTTAGCCCCAACAGTTTAAGGGTCTACGTGAATGTTAAAGTAGAGATTTAAAGCAGGAAATGTAGTACTCTATTTTTTTTAAAGTTAATTCCAACAGGTCAATAAATTGTCACATTGTTTACTTCAAAATAGATGTTTTGATCTGTTGCTGCTATGAAATGTGGTTCTTATTCTCCACTACCGCTTGGTGCCTGCTGCTCCACACTGAATTACCTTCTCCTTTTCAAATGCAGAAAAACTCAATTATGCCTCATTTCCTGTTTAGAATCACTTTGAAGTAATAAAAAAAAATGGAAAAAGATTAAAAAAAGAAAAAGAATAACTCATCTCTTTATCTCCCAATCAATCCAGCTACATTAAGTTGAGGTCATTTGGACAAAGGACAGGCTGGCCAATTTACACAAATACTCCATTTAAAAAGAGAAATGGAGGTTAAAGGGACTAATATATTTTTACCACACTTCTGTGATATCCTCAAAGCTCTAAGATAGCAGAGTGAAGGAATTTGAATGCCTTGGCCTTTTCTTCTTCCCATTTTCCTTTCTTGATTTTCCTGGGTATCTCTGTTTTAATGGGAAGATGGAGGGTATCTGTCTAGGTAGCGACAGCCTCTGCATCTAGCAGGGATGATAACGAACAATGGGAATGCTGGGAGTCATGTTCCTGAGTGAAAACAGGGCCAATGCACACCGTAAGACCTGGATTCACTGCCATAACATCATGACTCTTTAGAAGGAATAGTTCCCTACGATACCTGAACTGACAGGAGGAATATGTAGGGAGAGGAGAATGGGGATGAGGGAGGACTGCAGAAATCCAATCAAGAATATGAATTTATGAATTGGGAAAAATACCTGGTGTACATTAAATAGAAATAGCTAGTCAAGTGTTCATTCTTCACTTAAGTAACAGACTTTGTTCCTCTGTTGGACCTTGAGGGGCACTATCTTGGAGAAGAAATGATAAGGCTGAAATTGTCTGCCTTGTCCTTAGTATCTTCCTGAGGGAAATGTTCTCACATCCTCCTGCTGAGGAAGCAGCTTTAGATGGTTCATCAGCAGGTAAGCATCCAGGGCTCATAATTAACTGGATCAGGAGTGGTTACCAAGGCAGTAAATGAGCAGGTATTTTTACCACACTGCAGTAGTGGCTGGTATCATTTTATAAGTATGGTCTGTCTGTTTTATAAGTATGTCTGTCTCTCAAAAATAAGGCAGAGTCTTATCTTTTATTTTTTAAGTATTCTGCCTGTATTCAATAAGATGCTCCAGACATGAGATAGTTAAGAAAAAAAAAGAGCTTATTTGCAAACCAATGCTCTGAGGGCTCTTATGATCCTTAATGAGTAATTGAAGGGGGTAATTCTACAGATGAGGAATGGTGCTAAACACTTGAAAAACAGCCATCCTCTGGAGGAAATGAGTGGAATCCATATTCATGACTCACTTATGGGTCTTGGCTGGTTTCTCCGGCTTCTCATTGTAGGGAATGACAATGTCACCAACTGAGTCTGGCTTCTGGAGGAGAATTCCCAACTTGATCTTAATCTCCTTGGCCCTGAAAGAAGAGACACAAGGGGAAATGAGGACACCACATGTGCGTACAGATTTTAAAAAAAGATTTCTTCCTGTGTCAGAGAAACAAAAATGAACAAAATCCCATTTCACTTGTGTTTTTCTTGTGGCAGAAAGAATACTAATGCAGAAATTAGAATACGTAAGTTCTAATAGCATTTACCAAACTCTTAGTATGTCCTTCATTAATTTGCACTACATTTTAATCCTCATTATTGCTTTATATGTGTTCTCTCATTTTATATCTACAGATACTATAGTATTATTTCCATTTCGCAGATGAGGTCACCGAATGAAAGGAGTTTAAATAACTTAAGATAACCAGCCAGTATTTGGTGGAGACAGATGTGAGCCCAAGCTGTCTGTGCTAGAGTTCCCAGGTAGAACTCCTCATGCATTGCCTGCTAGTCTTCTGGGGGCTCTGGTCCTCACTATTATTAGATATATGACATTTGGAAAAAATGATCACTTTTTACTGCCAGACTTCAGTTCCCTCATCTGTAAAATAATGAAGTTATTCATCATTTTAGATGGTTTTTGAGCCATTTCCAGCTATAAGATTAAATAATTCTACTTGATTATTTATTTCTCTATAAAATTTTTGTTTCCGACTCCTTATCCATTGTTCCCTATGGCTGTCTATCTTATGTGCAGTGAACCTTGATAAATGAGTACTAATTGCCAAATGACAAACTACAGCAGAATTTACTACTTCTTTGTATCTTCAGTATTTTAGTGACTAGATATGGTCAGAATTCTGGGTACTCCTCCATCACAGGATGCAACTATTTTCATGCTCAGTTTTAAAACTAACCTAATCTATCCATCACTTTATCATAATTCTAAACTAGAAAAGCACCAGGCAAATCTTAAATATTAATCCATAGGACAAGCTGTTGAATATTGGGAGACCCAAAAAGCTACCCTTTCCCGGTCACCTTAGCACTTGCTTACCCATGCTTGTAAGAGATGGTTCATCATATTGCATTTGGTCATTGACTTACATTTCTATTTCTCAACTTGGATATGAGAACTTTTTGATGGTAGGAATTTAGTCTTAAATACCTTTTAACCCCTGTGCCTAGCACAATGCTTGGCAACATAGTAAACATTTACAAATACTTGCCAAAGTAAACTAAAACATCTTGATTTTGTTCCTTACAAATCTGCTAACATTTACCTCTCAGTCAATGCTAATCATAACCAAAGTCTTAAAAAGATGTGGTGAAGTTCACATGGTGGCCAAATAGGATTTTACTATTGTATACATACTTTCCTCATTTGTTCACAGGGATTGTTCACTTACTGATTTACTCATTGGTCATGTTTACTGTGTCGGGCAGTATGCAGTAAATATACAAACACCATTAGGTTTGCTCCTTGCTTTCAAGGTACTGTTAGCCTGGAGAGGTCTTAGATGTGGAAACAGTCACAAACAGGTGCTTAAAGACAGACTGTCCAGAAAGCAGCAGGGCTCTGGCGGAGGAGCACCAGTGTCCACAAGGGCAAATCAGGGGGAACTTCTCAGAGGAGGCAAAGGAGGCAAAAGAGGAGGCAGTGATGAGGCAATTTAAGTAAATGCCTAAGATTCGCAGTTATGGATATTAGGAAGAAAAATGTAAGGAGACCTACTGTGGTAACTTATAAAAACCTCACAAATACCGAATTATCATAACATATTTTCCTTTAGGCTAGTAAATATGGTTTTGAAAACTATGTTTTAGGAGTAGTCATCTCTACAGCGTCATTTCCTTTTCATTTCATTCTGCTTTCATTCTTTCCCTAAGACCCTCTCACTGACTAAAGCCAACTCAGGTCCCACAGTACCTCAGATCAAGCTCAGCATGACATCAGGGTAAAAACTGGGACTGTTCTGCAGAGGGAGCTTATATAACACTGTGAATTAGATTAAGTGTCGCTTTAATTCCAGGCGTTGCAAATTACTTAAATTATCTAATGTTTAGTTCTTTCGCCTAGAAATTGGGACTGATAAAATAGTATATCCTAAGGCTTTTTGAGATGATTAAATATGCGAATGCATATGAGTCACTTAGCACAGCATTTGGCATAGAATACGGCTTTTCAAAGTTAGTTCTAACTACACAATCATTTTTCCAACCCACTACCCATGTTCCCTAGCTTCGAACATTACATTGAAACATACAAAAAATTCCCTGCAAGTTACTAAGGAGTTACTACACCCACAACCTTCTATATTCTACCTCTGGGGACAAGAATTGCCAATTTTATATTTATCTGAAAAATGAAGAAAACATTAAGTGGAGAGGAGAAATGCATGCAATATTTTTGGCTGCCCTCTGCTGGCTAACATGCAGTATTACAGTCAGAGATGCAAGGTGAACTAGGACACAGTATCCCACCCAGTCCATGAAAAACTTCAGCCATAATCCATGTCCTCCTGGCTCCATAGGTCCCTCCCTTCCTGTACATCTGTGGAATGCATGCTGCAACTCTTTGCAGTTTCAGCCTTGACCCAGTGGTCCACTCACCAATATTTAGATGACAATGATGTAATGAAAGTCTCTCATGTTTAGGTTTCTGTTCGGTTGGTCCTTTTGGTTTTAACTTTATCCCCCCTCTCAATTTTAGTTCCTTTTTTTTCCTATCTCTTGCTCCATTTGAACTTTTTGCTTTTGTAAAAGGCAGAAACATATTTGTGTTTGATTTCCTGATGCAAGAATAATAGTTGGAGATTTGGAGATTAAGGGATAATTAGAACAAAGAAATTGAATGTATGTAAAAGAATTATTAGTTACTTAATTCATTGATTCCTTACTGATTTACTCATTGGTCATGTTTACTGTGTCGGGCAGTATGCAGTAAATATACAAACACCATTAGGTTTGTTCCTTGCTTTCAAGGTGCTTTTAACCTGGAGAGGTCTTACATGTGTAAACAATCACAAACAGGTGCTTAAGGACAGACTGTCCAGAAAGCAGCAGAGCTCTGGCGGAGGAGCACCAGTGTCCACAAGGGCAAATCAGGGGGAACTTCTCAGAGGAGGCAAAGGTGGAACTAGAGAATGAGTAGCAGTCAGTCAGTTGGGCTAGAAAAGAATGAGCTTTCCAGACAGAAGGGTGGGTGCGTGTTATTTGAAGGGATGTAAAAGTAGTCTGTACTGCAAAAGGGTGAAACATGAGAGAGCAGAAAGCCAATTAAATGAACTTACTCTGTCTCCCTTCTAGATAGAGGGATGGATGTTGGAGGGACCTCTATACAGAACCTAGCTTGCAGCAAAGTTGGTATGAAAACAAACAAGAGATAAAACTATAGAAAGGTGCCTTTCAAAGACTCTGTATGTAAAGAAGTGGCATCCTATCATATGAACTCAATGTATCTCACATTTTCTTTTACTATTTCAGGATGCACCTTCTATGAAAACACCATTTATAAATGGTAGTTACATGCTCAAGACATGCCACAAAATCCTTTTAAAACCAGGATGAATCAGAGCCCTATTACTATTTTATCTATATCACTGCTTAAATAGAGTATTTCTGTGGAATGATCTAGAAATCAACTATCATTTACAACATTGCCTAGAGAAAATCATATTTCATTTCCTCAGAGCAGACCAACATACCAGAACATCAGGTTACTCTTTTCCTCATATTTGCCCTGGAGATGTAAGGGAGAAAAGATATTCAGTGCTTTGGAAAATACTTCTTTCTATGGCTTCAATTTCTGGCTTGGTATAGGCTCAAGTATAGAGCATTACAAAGTTAAGAGTATTTAAGTTGTGAAGTCCATTAAATTTAACTAAGAGTTCATTATTCAGGGAATGAATAGTAGTATTGCATTTCTGCTCATACAACAGTAAAGTTTAAAGGCCGAGGAGTTGACAAATGCTGAAGTTCAAACCACTTTAAACACTGCACTCTTTTCACAAGACTAAATAATGTTAGATTTGTTTCTCTCCTCAAGAATTCCTGGAATATTATTTCATTCCCCCTTTCCCTTTCCTCCCTACCATAGCCTCACAAACATATGAAAATGAAACAAACCAAATGAAAAATTCAAACAAAACAATAGCGCCAGCCCACCAAACTATTTTCCCTTTATAGATAAACTTGAATATATCTGACATTAACTTAACATCAAAAACAACACTATCCAGAGAAGATAATTTTCTAACTTGTTTACAGTTTCATGCTTGGTCTCGGGCTCTCTTTGACTGCACCCTAGACATTTTTTCCTGGCCACATTACGTTAATGCTAGTTAACAAGAAGCTATTTTTATCTCCTCTCATCTCTCCTCCTCCTGTTATTCTTTTGTTTTACAAAGAAAAACTTGTTTTGAAATAAAATCAATTGAAAATGCTTGAGTAAAAGTTTAATTAAAGGCTCAGAGGAAGATAATTCTTTGTCTAGATGACTCACACTAGTGATTTCAAACTGAAAATGATTTGAATAATTCTGGGGCTGTGCAATTTTAAATCTGCTCCCTGTGTGGGTATGCTGCCTGGCTGGGAAGTCAAAATTCAAAAGGCCACGGACCACCTCAGTCCTTCCTGCTAGTGCGTGAATTTAGTGGGTTATCACCTTAAGATGCATAAGTGTGGAAAACTGGTACAAGCAATCACTAAAAACAGAAACATAGTTAAATTTTGAGAAATATATTCCACCAGAATGTGTGAAGAACCAATTATATGTAAAGTCTTATACTAGGTGTTTCAAGGGTTACCGAGTTGTTTCTCACTTCAGAGCCACTTGGAACAATTGAATATAAAACACATACATGTAAACTGTATAGCAGATATTTTTCCAATCATTGATGAAGGTAGGTGGAGTATAAAAACAAAAGAACACAGGCCGGGCACAGTCACTCATGCCTGTAATCCCAGCACTTTGGGAGGCTGAGGAGGTTGGATCATGAGGTCAGGCATTCAAGACCAGCCTGGCCAAGACAGTGAAACCCCATCTCTACTGAAAATACAAAAAAAGTAGCCAAGCGTGGTGGCA